AAGGATTGCAGCAGGAACCCAAAGAACTCCAAAAAAAGAAGTTGCTTCTGGGCAGCTGCAAGGGTAAAGATCCAACAATGCTGCTCAGATTTTGCCCATAAAAATGGTGACTATCTTTTTTTAAAATCTGTAGTGATGTATAGGTGGTTACGTTTACTATGGTAGGCATCATACTGCAAGGAATGTTTTAGATGTAACCAAATTCACAATTTCTTTTTACTGAGCAACTCCAGACATAGAGCCCAATAGCTATTGCTGGTGGTAAAGCATCATTTACTGTTGGTACAAAACCCAGGTGACAAGCAGCATCGAATCCTGTCCTCAGACAACCACTGAAGCCAGTGAATTGAATTTTGCTCCCCATTGCAGTAACGTCACCTCACTGGAAGCAGTAACACTGCACTGACACAGTCGGCACATCTCAGGAGAGACTCGGGCCTGGGAAGAAAAGGTCACTTTTTCATTGCTATCACAAATAGGTGCTTTAGACCTTTGTGACACCAGAGCATATCTGGAGTCACTCTGCTAACTTCTGCGGAGTTGCTCCAGATTTACACTGTGAGCTCTTTCTCCTGGAATGCGCTGCTGAGTCTCATCAGCCAGCTCATTGCTTGGAAGTCACAGGCTGGTCTGCTCTGGGGTCACAGAAAGAGCATTACCGTGGTCTGCTATTGTGTGGCTGTAAGGCAGACTCAGAGAGCTCTTCTATTCCTCCTCTACCTCTTAGATGAGTGATAGAGAGAAACCATAGATATGAATGCAGTTTTACTCAACCCCACATCCAATATGCCAGTGTTGAATTCAGGAAACACACGAATTTAAAAACCTTCCTTTCCTCCTCACCTGCTCCCTCTGTGTTTCAAACAGAAGGGTGAAAAATAGAAAGAGACTATTCACAGTAAGAGAGCTCAAAGAAAACAGAGACCATAGACGCTTCATTTGTGTGCAGGGTAATGGAATGCTTCCTTTAAAAGCCGCTCTCTTGGAGACATTTACCTATGAACGGCCATGAGGTTAGTTAGCTTTAAATCAGACCTCATAATCTTGTCAGGAGTCATGAGTACACATTGAGACTGAACTACACCCCTTGGGGACTTGTCTCTTGTGACCTCAAAGTACCTCTTCAAGCCATATTTCTCACTGGAGTATACCAGGGGGGCTAATGAAAGACAAGCTGAATGAAGGACAAGCTTTCACTCTAATAAAGAGGTTGTATTCCCAAAATATTTTTCCCACCAGAAAGTTCTGTATACTTTTCCCAAGGGGGTGGAGGTCTGACTGGAAATGAATTGATGGCACTGTTTGTTTTTGCAGTACAGGAATTTAGAGCGTAATACCATATTTTACCCTTAAAGGGAGATGCTTGACCCTGCTTTAGCTGTACAATTACACGTCACACAATGGCAGCCTCAGCGGCTTACTGGGGAATGGTTGTCACCCTCTCTTGTGGGATGTCTTTGGAGATCCATGAAGCTTTCAGGGAGAAAGGAGGACAGAAAGAGACCAGGAGGATTGGACTGAATATTCAGGAAGCATCAAACAGCCCCACCATTAGAGCACATTTTTTCCCCATTTTTTTTTTTCCCCAAAGGTAGCAAAGGATAGCGTATCATTACATGATCAATAAGTTAATGAAAGGCTGAGCATAAATATGCAGTAGCTGACTGGAATGGAATCTCATTTGTGTGAGGGGAGCAGACATTGTAGCTTTTCAGAATGAGCATGCCAATCATTTTTAGGTTTCCCAGTTGCTAAGGTTAGCTATCAAAGAAGCTGGGGTTTGTTTTGATACTTATGGAGCCATTGAAATCTCTGGAGACCATTTCTTTTACTTTTTGCGAATATGAGATCTTAAATGCAGTATCTAAGAAGCCTCATTAACAGCAGGGAAAATAGTTCACTGGAGTCTATCTGCAGGTCTGAGCTCAAAGGCACCTGGGGCCCATAATAAGAACGTGTGGTGGCCGCAGAGTTAGGCATCTACACTGAAGTACAGAAATCCTCAGGGGAAGGGTGCTGTTGAGTCATGGTGCCAGCTGGGTCTTGAGCATCCAGCCCTGTGGGAGCTGCCGGGTCACTTGTGTGTTAATTGATGTACTGTTATTTATCTGCTTAGTTCCAGGTTTTCATCTTCATCTCTTATGAGGTGGGTGGCAAAAATTAAAAAACCTCTCTCAGAGAAAAGCCTCTAAAGATGAAAAGCACAGCAAAGGTCAAGGCTATTCACTGGGTGGGATCTGAATGTAGGTCAGATGGTCCCCAGTGGAAGAAGATGCTGCAGTGCCATAGGAAAAAAGGGAAAGACGTGCATGCATGCATGTGTGTATGTATAAATACAGAAATGAAGCATCGAGGAGGAGAAACTAAGACGTATAGATAACTACACAGCTGAAAAGGAAAACAAACTACAGGACAACCTTGCTGCCACTTACCTGAAATAAACCCGCATGTTGAAACAACAAAAAAGAAGCATAAATTTTGATCAGCTGGAAAGAGTATGTAGGAAGGAGAGAAAGGGGCTGATACCCTGATATTCACAGTGATCTGCTAGTCTGGCTGATGGTGGTTTAGTATGTGAATTCATTTCTGAAAATGCTGCAGGCTATTTGGAGCTGCGAGAGTCAGTTCTCAGACTTCAATAAAAGACTATTTCCCTGAAAGTGTTTTTGCAAAAGGAACAGTTTCACTGGAAAACAGTATTGAATCAAATGACATTGACACAGCACCATGACTCTTGGCATACCTTCTGACAGCAGATTTGAGTGATTCGCCTGCATCCTGAACAACCTTACAAAGCTACAACAGGTCCTGACACCAA